ATTCTATTCCTAAGTAACGTCTTGCTTGTACAAAATCAATAGAAAACCTTGGGGACGTTTAGGTAAATGAGTATTCCATAGTGGTACATAATTCCATTTTCTTGTTTGTCGCAACGTTCCAGCTTTATTTGCGCAAACAAAACTTTTACATAAGGTTTCGGAGTAGTAGTAAATAATGGTGGTTCTTGCTTCCTGCTCACGGTTTTTGTATCTCTTTGATAAATGGCTTAAGGAGGTATTATGTGTTGGCCTGGATAACACAATTTATAAAAACCACTATCTGATTTATAATTGTTCCTTTATTTTAACACACTGCGAGCATTGACACTTTTAGAAGATAATATTTTCTCAAAAATCTCACAACGACTGACTGTCTCGTCTTTTTCTTGACTTTATTTGCATGTTTTATTAGACTAAAACAGAGGGCGCATAGATACTTGTTTTTAAACTAATACAGAGGACGCCGCGTATTTCGAGACAGCGCCGTCTACAAGAACTTTCTCTGTTTTAGTCCGGAAATCACATTACTTGTTTATTCTTAAACTAAAAAACATTGATTTAAAATTAGTAACTTAATCTAAAATTTTATTAAATTAATTAAGGTTTTAATAACATTATAATTTGATATATTTTAAATAAACCAATATGACAACTTTTATTCTGGCATGTAACTAAGTAAATATAAATTAATATCTAGTGAACCATGGTACAATGCTTAACATTTGTTTCCTTAGTGCTGAATAACGTAAAATATTATTTTTAGTATTTAAAATGTGTCTCGAGTACCCAGTATTCGACTCGAGATTTTTTTATAATATCTAGTGACGGGCCGACCAAGTCGTGCACCTGATAGTAAGCTATATATAGATAGTATAGTAAGCACGCCTGTCCATAACAGTTGCAATGCCACGCTCTGAGCTTTAAATCACAAGTCTGAGGGGCACTGTCACTGCGGCCCATCACACTGAGACCTAAGTTGACAAGTCCCGTGTGCCTGTAATTGCCCCAGCACCCTTACCCTTCAAAACCGTAAAACAGTAATGCTGATATTGCTGCTTGGCGGCAGAAATAGGTAAGGTGGCAGTACTACCTTGGAGAGTTTCTACTGCTACTAAATTTTTGTTTTTAACTGACTTACAAAAAAAAGGAGGAGGTTCTCAATTCGACTGTATGTTTTTTTGTACGTATGTTACGCGATAACTCCGGTATTTGTGAACCGATTTTCATGATTTCTTTTTTTGTTGGAAAGAGGGTACCTCCATAGTGGTCCCGTTTCATTTTGAAGAAAATCATCCACCTCTAAGGGTTACTGTTCACGCATGAAGGTTAATTTTTATAAATAGCGCCTAAATTTTATTATAATTTTATTTATAATACTTAGTAGTGGGAACCGATTTTTATTATCTGTGTCAAGTCCCGTATAGGGGCGAACTAGGGGATGAATCCGGGTTTGCGCACTTTTCGGTAACCGATTTCAATAAAACTTGGTAATTATATGTAATCCACGTACGTTTGAGGCCGGTTTTTTTAGTACTCTGCACTGAGATTATGAAAATTTATGTTATATGCATACGGTCTCTACCTACTAATTTACCTCCATTTAGTATTAAGGCATTTAATATCATAAATGTTATAAGGTTAATTACTATTCTTTCATTAGTGTACTAAACTGAAACCAATAAGAAACGAAAAATCACAAATATTATTCCAAATTAAAGACGTAAAAGTTGTAACTTAGCCGTTGAAAAACCAAGTAATATTATAATTGCACATTGTGTGCCGATGTCATGTAAACTGAATAATATTTGAATCTACACAGTAAACTTAAATTACGACAGTTATAATATTAAAATTAGGGAAAAATCAATGGTAGTTATACAGCAACTAAATTGCACTATGTTTATTCGCAATTAGATTTTCCCTGTATAAGTGACAAAATAAGAGATACTCGCCTTCTGAAAATGATTTGGAATATAATGTATTTTTAACATACCTAATTATGTATACAGAGTAATTACTCTTTAAAACGAATTCGTCCGAAAGAGTTGTCTATTGTTAATAATAATAATAATCATCATTTATTTCGGAACTGGTCCATAA